TGTACTTCTGTGGAAAACTCAAAATTTCACTGCCTGGTACTTCTGTGTTCAAAGATCACTCTTCTTCCCTTCTCCATTCTTTGTGGGTAAAAGTCTGCTTTAGGTCTTCTTTTTTCTCGAATTTCTTATTGTGTTAGAATACATGAAAGATAAAATGTACCATCTTAACTTTTTACATTTATAGTTCAGTGGTATTAAACACATCATAATGTTGAACAACCATCACCACCATCCATCTCCATAACGCTTTTCATCTTGTACAACTGAAACTTTGTACCCATTAAACAATAACTCCCCATTCTTGCCTTCCCTCGGTCCCTGGCAATCACTGTTCTGTTTTCTGTCTCCGTGATTTTGACTATTCTAAGGACCTCATATAGGTAGAATCATACAGTATTTGTCTTTTTGCGACTGGCTTATTTCACTTAGCATAATGTCCTCAAGTTTCACCCATGCTGTAGCATATTGCAGAGTTTCCTTCCTTGTTAAGGCTGAATAATGTTTCATTGTATGTATATACCACATTTTGCTTATCCATTCATCTGTTGATGGACACTTGAGTTGCTTCCTGTTTTAGCTATTATGAATAACGCTGCTATGAAAATAAGTGTACAAATATCTCTTCAAGACACTGTTTTCAATTCATTTGGGTATATACCCATAAGCAAAATTGATGGATCATATAATTCTATTTTTTATTTTTTTAGGAACTGCCATACTGTTTCCCACCAACTGTACATGAGGGTTCAATTTTCTCTGCATCTTCACCAATACTTGTTATTTTCTGTTTATTGATAGTAACCATCCTATGCTTTGGGTCTTAATAAGATGTCTCTGACTAGGATTGAGATTTTCAAATCAAGTGTAGAAAGTGGAGGCAGTTTTGTGTCTTTATACCCGAAAAAACAAACTCTTCTTCAAATGCTGAAGAAAAATATAGTGATGACATTTTAGAATTTCAAATGAGCACGAATAGTCTAAAAATGGAACAGAATGTTTGAAATGGAAACTGCCCCAGAAAACTTGAATAATTAGAGCTATAATGTATTTTGAGCACCTACTATGTGACAGACACCAGGAAAAGCACTTCCCACATATATTATCTCATTTAATCTTTTCAATAACTCTTTTAAGAAATGGGTCCTAGAGTCCCTATCTTTGCAGATGAGGAAACTAAGGTGTAGACAGGTTTAAACTACTTGCTCAAGGTCACATAGCAATTAAATGGCAGAGCTGAAATTCAGATCCAGGAATGACTAACTCTAGAGGCTTTTCACTTATCCACCCAGAGGACCTGCCATTTCCTTAGACATTTATAGGCTCTAAAATAATTTCTTTGTGGAAGGAATTCAAAGGCAAGAGAGTCAAATCAATATTTCCATCTGTGTATAATCTGCATGATTTTTGACATATCCAAGAATAACATAAATTACAGGAAGGGTATTTGGGCATTCTCTCTCTCATTCCCTGGGGGTGGGGGTGGCAGCCTTCCCTACCTCAGGTTCATCCCATAAGCCTATCCAGGGTCCATTGTTGGCCAACCAAGTTGATCTCTGGCAAGTGACTTGGCGTGGCTCTTCCTACGTTAATTTCATCAAAGCAATAATAATCATGAAATCATGGGCTGGATATTAGATGTTTTTTGTTTTTAGTTTTTCTTTTTTTTTTTTTTTTTTTGAGACCTGCTCTGTCGCCTGCCTGGGTTCACTGCAACCTCCGCCTCCCAGGATCAAGCAATTCTCCTGCCTCAGCCTCCTGAGTAGCTGGGACTACAGAAACATGCGACCACACGTGGCTAATTTTTTATTTTTATTTTTATTTTTATTTTTTTTTTTTTGAGACGGAGTCTCGCTGTGTCACCCAGGCTGGAGTGCAGTGGCGCGATCTCGGCTCACTGCAAGCTCCGCCTCCCGGGTTCACGCCATTCCCCTGCCTCAGCCTCCGAGTAGCTGGGACTACAGGCGCCCGCCACCTCGCCCGGCTAGTTTTTTGTATTTTTAGTAGAGACGGGGTTTCACCATGTTAGCCAGGATGGTCTCGATCTCCTGACCTCGTGATCCACCCGCCTCGGCCTCCCAAAGTGCTGGGATTACAGGCTTGAGCCACCGCGCCCGGCTATTTTTATTTTTAGTAGAGACAGGGTTTCACCATGTTGACCAGGCTGGCCTTGAACTCCTGATCTCAGATGATCCACTTATCTCGGCCTCTCTAAGTGACTTTCTAACCTTGACATGCAATGAAACACCTAACCTCTAAAAACAGCTCAAAAAGGTTGAGACTGGTTTAGGCAGGATGGTAATTTGCCAATCCTTGCTCACTTTCTCCTTCTGCAGTCTCCAGTCTTTGCTTAACTGTCCTCCATTTTTGAGAGATTTTTCATAGCTTTTCAGAAGAAACGGGCACTTCCAAGAGAGCAACCTGCTTTTATTTCTGCAGCTACTGATCTTCATCATCCAACTTAGGTGTTACATCCTTAGAAATGAGGCTCTCTCTGACCTTTCTCTGACCACCTAATCCAAGGTAATCCCCCATAAAGTTTCCCTGTTTTATTTTTCTTGTAGAACTAGGTTATCACGATTTGAAATCATCTTATATGTTTGTTGACTTGCATGCTGCTAGTCTCCCCACTAAACAAGCTCCGGGAGGTTCATGGCATCTAGCATAATGCCTCGCATGTACTAAACACTCAAAGAGTATTTGTCAAATGAATGTACATGATGAATTAGGGATTCTAAAATTGGGATAGGGCTTTGGAGCTGATGAAATAGAGGCAACACAAGGAAAGCTGAACTTGGGTTATGCAAATTTATCCAACTATGGTAAAGTGGAAACTGATATGGTAAAGTACAACACTGTCTGAGGTTCTTACATCACTCATTCTTTCTTGAGCACATACTATATTCAGGGCATTGTGCTAAACTGTCAGTGGTGGGCTGCTATAGAGCTCTGGGACCTATGCCATAGGCAACCCCTACTTTGATTCATTTATCTCATGTTTATTGAGTGACTACTACATGTGAAGCACCATTCTATGCTGGATATCATAGTAATCAGGACAAAGTTCCTGCCCCGTAGTGAGGAATGTATGTGTCAAATCATAATCAGACATGGTATTTTTTCCCAGATGGCATTTCCTAGTGATCGTTTGACTTTCCAGCAAATTCAGATCTTTGCTCCCAAGGTGATCTTGGAATCATTTCTCCACCACCCTCCCCCTGCCCACTGTTACTTTTATATTGATACCAGCTACCAATTATTGGGTATGCACAGTGTTAGGCACTGTGCTGAGGGCTTTACATTCATTATATGATTGAATCTTCCCAATAACCTCACGAAGAAGGTACTATCATAACCCCCATTTTACAAGGCTGAAATTAAATGATGTGTCTAATATCATGTAGTTGTTATGTGGTAGAATGGATTCAAAGCTGGACCAAGTGTCCCCTAGAGTTGTGCAATGCAGTCACCATCCAGAGTCAGTGTCCTTAACCATCAGTGTGCAATGGTGCCTCTTATATATTACATATGCCCTCCCTTCACTTAGGCAATCTGATTCTGCAGACTCTGGCAACCCAGACACTCTCAGGTTATAGGGTTTGCCCAAGGAGCTGGCAATGAAGCAGGCAGAAATGTTCTAAGGTCTGACTCTGTGGTCCAGAACATGAGGCATCAGCAACTATATGTTATGACACAGTTGTTACAGTTCATTACATCCTAGGAATAACACTGTCCTCAGTAAAGATCAAATTATTGAAGATGTAGTTCATAATGGAAACTATATATCTGGACTTCTTTCATTTGAAAGCGATTAAACACAAGGAAGTTAAAGAAAAGCTGAGGAAAACAACTAGTGCATTTGTAGAGAAAATATTAAAAACATATCTCAATACAGGCAATCTAGATTAAGACAATAAATATATTTGTGCTATCAGTTTTATCATAATACATCCTTTAGGTTCAATATAGAACTAAAGCTATCAAATATGGTTCTTTTTCACACTGATTTCTGTAATTTACTAACATATATTCATTTGTTTTGTGCCTTTTCAAAGCAATTTTTCTTACCTTATTTAATTCTTGTGTCATAAAAATCTTGTAAGGTAGAGGGAAGGCATTATCTTTGTTTTTAAAAAGTATAAATTTAAGGTACAAAGTGAGCAAGTAAGTGACCAACAACACCAAATTAGAATTGTAGCCATGAAATTTGGTCCACACAACCAGGGTGCAAAAATATCACATTTCTTTCTTTTTTTGGCAATGATTTATTGAATATGGCACCAAAAGCACAAACAACAAAAGAAAAAAGAGGTAAGCTGGACATTATGAAAATTCAAAACTTTTGTATATCAAAGAATACCAACAGAGTGATAAGGCAATCCATGAAATAAAAAGAAACATTTTAAAATATTATATCTGATAAGGAATTGATATCCATAATATATAAGGAACTCCTACCACACAACAACAAAAGCAAACAACCTGATTTTATTTTATTTTATTATACTTTAAGTTCTGGGGTACATGTGCAGAACCTGCAGGTTTGTTACATAGGTAGACACGTGCCACGGTGGTTTGCTGTACCCATAAACCTGTTACCTACATTAGGTATTTCTCCTAATGCTATCCCTCCCCCCGGCCCCCGCCCCCCAAGAGGCCCCAGTGTGTGATGAGCCCTGCCCCTCCATGTCCATGTGTTCTCATTGTTCAACTCTCACTTATGAGTGAGAACATGCAGTGCTTCCTTTTCTGTTTTTGTGTTAGTTTACTGAGAATGATGATTTCCAGCTTCATCCATGTCCCTGCAAAGGACATGAACTCCTCCTTTTTTATGGTTGCATAGTATTCCATGGTGTATATGTGCCAAATTTTCTTTATCCAGTCTATCATTGATAGGCATTTGGGTTGGTTCCAAGTCTTTGCTATTGTGAACAGTGCTGCAATAAACATACGTGTGCATGTGTCTTTATATTCATAATCCTTTGGTTATATAACCAGTAATGGGATTGCTGGTGTTCCTATTTCTCCACATCCTCTCCAGCACCTGTTGTTTCCTGACTTTTTTATGATCGCCATTTTAACTGGCAAAAAATGTCACATTTCTTTATATCCCTACAACAATCTGCTCGGAAACTTTCACCTTTCTAGCTGGCTAAAAATTCCATCTCACTCATGGTTTTTATCTCCCTTTGTCAAGGTTGTATGAAGACCCTAGCAAATGATATCCAGAACATAACTTTCAGTGTAGGCCCTATGCCCTTTTGTGCATACCCAATATTGTTGATATGTTTGTCAGGCAAATCCCCTTAAAGTTAGACAGGGTAGCTGCTTCTGTGCCACCCTTGCACATTGGTGGTGATAGTGGGGTGTTTTGGCTGAGGTTGGCATCCTCATGGACTAGTATTCAGACTTTCTTAAGTGTACCATGTCTCCATTCTCTCTTGAGATCTTGTATCTTCTTTAGGACACTAAAAGGCAGCAAAAGTAGTCCTTGATGCTCATGGAATCTACCATTACTCCCATCTCCTCTCTGGTACCGGAGAAGCTCAACTTCTATGTCAGACAGCTTCTCCCACCTCTACTCAAAAGCATTCACCTGTTAACCCTCTGGGACAAGTCAGCATACTTTTCCTCAATGAACCTAGGCTTCTGAAATCAAAAGCTCTGGATTCAGGTGATCTTCCTGAACTTCCGATTTTGACCTTGCAAGCAAAAGCACCTAAGAAAGGGGAACAGAAGGGCTTGTCTATGTTTTGATTTGTAGGAGGGAAAAAGATCTACAACAAGGGCAAATTATTTAAAAATAATATTTGAATACATAATCCTTCCCCAAGCCCTGCTACATATCTTAATGGGAGTTTTTAATTTGAGGCATGGTACTAGTAAGCAGCAGTAATAATGGATCTACGGTTTTGCAGTTGATTTCAATATTGTATGTATTTATTAAACACACACAATGCTACTACTGCTGTACTATGTATTGTACGGCATGTTTAAGAAGAAAAAGATATATTATTTTGTCTTTGAGATGTAAAGAAATGAATCCACAATATGCTCTTTGACAGCCTGCTGCTGGTAACTTTCAGATCCCACTACCTAAGGGGCTAAAATTTTCTTTTCTTTAGAATATGAAAAAAATAATTTCATAGATATAATTATTTTATTTAGAGACTGTCCTTTATGAAGAGTATTTTCCTTCTTTATTTTCTACTTCTCGTAGTCACTCAAGAAACATTATATGCTAGTCATGAGGCCAGTGACATAAAGATTCATAACATTGTCCTTGGCCTCAAGGAAGGGAGACTAGGTGGTGGAAGGGAATAGATCTATAATATCAGAGTGGCCTGATACAGGAGGCAATATTTAATTTAGGGCTTAAAGCATGAGTTGAAGTTTATTAGTAAAGAAGTGGGGAGGAACATTTCAAAAAGAGGAAACAGCATGGGCAAAGAAGGGAATAAAATAAATTTCCTAAAATAAAAATAGAGAAGTGAAAATACATAGCATACTCAAGGAACTGCCAATAATCTGACCGGAGTACAAAGTCTGGGGGCGGGGGGGTTAATGGTGAAAGACAAGGCTAGAGAACTAGTGTGGAGTGTGATTGTAAATGTTCCTATATGCAATGCTAGAGAGTTTGGGGTTCTCCTTATAGGCCATGAGAAATTAACCAAAGGTTTTAAGCAGGAAAGTGATAAGATCAGAACAATGTTTTCTGAATATTCCTTCTGACGGAGGTGCCAAAAATAGACTGAACATAGAGAGAGTAGTCATATGGCTCTCGGCAGGAGCTGATGAAATAAGGCAATAGAAGTGGAATGGATTTAAGGTAATATTGATGGACTTAGTATGAGAATGAGAGATAAGTAAGAGTTAAAGATGACTCCCAAGCCTGGGTAATCAGGTAGATAGAAAGGCCATTAACCAAAATAGGGAATACCTAAGAAGGCCAAGGTTGTGTATAATAAGTTTTTGTCTCAGATAAGTTGAATTTCAGGTGTCTTTGGGATATCCATGTGAAACTATCTAGTAAGCCAATTGAAAACTCAGCCTACAGCCTGGTTAGAGAAGTCAGGGTTGGAGTTAAGATATTTGGGATTCATCAGCATACAGATGTTGAGTAAATTGATGGCAATAAATGTAGAGCAAAAGGAAAAAAGTCTGAGGATAGAGGCCTGAAGGACAGGTAGCTGGAGTAAGAGAAGACCCTAAAAGAGAGTTTGGGGTTCTCCTTGTAGACCATGAGAAAGAAAGCAACAATCAGATGAGGGCTATTAGAGAAACACAGAAGAAGAGAGGTCCTCAAAGGAAAGAGTGGTCTTTAGTAAACACAGAGTAGAGGTCTGACAGGACAAGGACTAGAAGGGCTATTATGAATTGGGCAATTTAGACATCACTGGTGACTTTTGTTGGAGCAGTAGTAGGGGCATAAGCCAAATTGCTATGGTTTGAGGGTTAAAGAGAAGATGAGGAGGGTGGAAACAGTATATGAGAGTTATTCTTTCAAGAAGGCTGGCAGTAAACAGAAAGTGAGAAATAAGTTGGCAACACAGTAGGCAAAGGTAATATGGAAGAATGTCTATGGAGAGTAAGAATGAAGAAATGAGAGAGAAAAGGGTTAATGCATGGAGTCAAATCTCAGACAAGTTAGTGGAGGATGGGTTTTAGTCCAATACTTCTCAAACTACCTGTGGTGAAGGATCAGGTTTTCAAATTTTCAAGCTGTTGTGATTGGTACTTCTGTAAAATATAATAAAAATGAGTTACTAGAAACAATGCAGTACAAAAACAAAGACATTCAAAATATAAACCCCAATTTTTCATTATTAGAGCCAATGAACATAAAATTAATTTATCAAATTGCTATGGAAGTTTCTAAATTCTTACTCTTAATTTCAGTGCTTAGGCTGTTGTAGATCAGTATCAAACAGTTTGAGGATTGGAAGGGGTCCATGACCACACCTTGAGTAACACTATTCTAGACCATAGGTAGAGAGAGCGGGAAAGGACGTAAGAAAGAACACCCCTTCTTCCAAGAAAGGAGGAAAGCAGGAAAAGGATGAAAAACAGAGGAAACTTCAGAATGAAATGAAGAAGGGTTGAATGGATTCTCACCTGAAAGTCTTTTTTTTTGTTGTGAAGTAGGAAGCTTCATTTTCCGAAATGATTAAAAGATGAAGAGGTTGGAGTGGGAGGATTGAAGTGTAGTAACGGGTTGAAACAGCTGCTGTGGGAAATCAGAAAGGGAACTGAATAAAGATGAATTAAAGATTTGTAGAACAATAGAGAAGACCCAGCTGAGGCTGAAAATCATAAATTTTTTATGGAGCCAATCAGCTCAATATTGTGATTTATTTTTTCTAACAGTTTTACATCCTCAGAGCAGGGGTGGAGAAAACATATGATAGAATACTGGTACTATGGTGGGCTAGATATACAAACTGTCCCACGGAAAACACTTAAAAATGCTTAAAAGCACTTAAAAACATGAAATTCATTTATGTTGCATATACACCTTAAACACATAGCCTGAAGGTAATTTTATACAATATTTTAAATAATTTTGTGCATGAAACAAAGTTTGTATACATTGAACAAAGCAAAGGTGTCATTATTTCAGCAACCCAGGTAGACAATGTGGTTGTTTGGTATCACCATCATTCCTGACTCTGAATTTATATGCTACTGATAAGCAATCATTTTCTTACAGTTATTCTCACATAAGTACTTAACAGTTTAAAAAAATGACATACCATTAATATAGTGAAAAAATTACGTGTTCAGTGTAACGAAGCAGCACAGTGGCATCACCAGAATACCAGGATCAGCTGTTAAACAACAAACAATGGCAGGCTTTCGGTCTCCACCTACAATGCTGTGTTTTGATTAAAAGGTTACTGTACATTGTATTTTATTTTTTTAAGGTGAGAAGACACAGAAACAGTTGAAGGACCAGGAAGTGGGTCCTATAAAGATGAGAAGGCATTCTGCTGGATGGCTTTTAAAAAATATTTCCTCCAAAGTCATCTGCCTGATTAACAATGGATTTTTTCTAAAACAACTCCATCAAAAAGTGGGCGAAGGATATCAACAGACATTTCTCCAAAGAAGACATTTATGTGGCCAACAAACATATGAAAAAAAGCTCATCATCACTGACCATTAGAGAAACGCAAATCAAAACCACAATGAGATACCATTTCATGCCTCTTAAAATGGCGATCAGTAAAAAGTCAGGAAACAACAGATGCTGGAGAGGATGTGGAGAAATAGGAACGCTTTTACATTGTTGGTGGGAGTGCAAATTAGTTCAACCATCGTGGAAGACAGTGTGGTGATTCCTCAAGGATCTAGAACCAGAAATACCATTTGACTGAGCTATCCCATTACTGGGTATGTACCCAAAGGATTATAAATCATTCTACTATAAAGATGCATGCACCCGTATGTTTACTGCAGCACTATTCACAATAGCAAAGACTTGGGACCAACCCAAATGCCCATCAATGATAGACTGGATAAAGAAAATGTGGCACATACACACCATGGAATACTATGCAGCCATAAAAAAGGATGAGTCCATGTCCTTTGCAGGGACATGGATGAAGCTGGAAACGATCTTTCTCAGCCAACTAACACAGGAACAGAAAACCAAACACTGCATGTTCTCACTCATAAGTGGGAGTTGAATACTGAGAACTCATGGACACAGGGAAGGGCTCATCACACACCGGGGCCTGTCGGCTGGTGGGGGCTAGGGGAGGGATAGCATTAGGAGAAATACCTAATGTAGATGACGGGTTTATGGGTGCAGCAAACCACCATGGCATGTCTATACCTATGTTACAAACCTGCATGTTCTGCACATGTACCCCAGAACTTAAAGTATAATAATAAAAATAAAGTCAAACACCAAAAAAAAAAAAAAAAAAAAAAAAGAAAGAAAAAAGAAATAGACGTTTGTTTTACTAAGCCATTATATCTTTGGGTCTACTTGTTAGAACACTTTATTTAGCTGGTACAGGCATTTAAGTTAGACACATTCTTTTATGTAATCTTTATAACCATTTAAAGAAGTATGTACTGATATGCAATTTAAGAGATAAGGAAAAAAAAGTTAAATTACTTGCTTGAAGTTGTGCAGTAAATGAATGGGTGATATGCTAAAGGCCCAAGAAGATGTTTGCTACAGCCCCAGTCAAGCTATGCTCATAGTAATCACTAGGCCTTGTTGTTGATTTGGGGAGCAAAAGTTTGCTGAAGCAGTAAAAATATCATGACATCAAAATTTTCGCTGGAGCCTCAAGGCTAGTTTATAAAATTAACACCCTTCCTCTTTACCTTTTAACTATTTCTCTCACTCCATAACTCTATAAACAGCATTTTGTTGCCTGTCTTTTCTCTGTGTTCATCATTTCCATCCAGATCGGTTCTTATTCTTTTCTAGTAGGCCCTATTACATTGATCTCCTTATTTATGAGACTAGAAAAGAATAATAATCGATGCTTTGAGGTCTCAGTATTTGCTCTTTTCAGGATAGAAGTGTTTCTGTTCAAGAATTGCTTGTAAGTATATTTCACTGAACACTGTAGTGATGACCATCAAAGAAATAATATTAATAATGGTAATAACAACTACTTAAAATAATATTTCTAGGAACTATCCCTAATTAAATAAAAACCCTCCTTTGACCTAGTGCTCTTCTACAGCTACCATCTCATTTCTTTGTTCCTCTTCGGAGTCAAGTATTTCAACAGAGTTGTCTATATACACTATCTACAGCTCCCCACCACCCCATTCACTTTTCAATGCACTCCAGTCTGACTTCTGGCCCTGCCACTCTAATGAAACTACTCATGTTATTGCAACACGCAACATGCATGTTGCCAAATCTAATAGACTCTTCTCTATCCTCATTTTATTTGAAGTCCCTGCAGTATTTAACATCATTAGCCATTCTCCCTTCTTAAAAGATTTTCTTGTTTGGATATTGTGACACAACACTCTGCTGGCTTTCCCACTACGTCAGTTGCTACTCTTGTTTAGTCTCATTGGCCAGTTCATCCCAATATTGTGCAGTCTCAGGACTCAATCCTGGTTTTCACTTTTTTCTTTATAGTCCTTCTCTATTTTGTGTTGTCCAGACCATGGCTTCTAATACTATCTGTATGCTAACTCCTAAATTGATTTATCTAGTCTTGATTCATGACACGCATATCTGTCTACCTATTTCATATCCCTATTTGCGTATTTAGTGGACACCTTAAACTTACATTGTCAAGAAGTCTTGATATCCCGTGGACCTGCTCCTGTCCTTATCTTTTCCATGTCAATATGTCATCACCACTTATTTGTTTACTCGAACCAGAAATCTAGTCATTATCATAAATTCTTTCCTTTTCCTGACCTCAACAAAATACGTGTCAGTAAGTCTTGTTGACTCTACCTCCAAAATTTACATAGAAATTCTCCCTTCTTTTTATCTTAACTGCCACCACCTAGGTCCAGGCCTATCCTGAATTACTGAAGTCTCTTGACTGATCTCCTTATCTCTGCTCTGTTCTCCTTCATTACATTCTCCAAATACCAGCAAAATTGATCTCACTAAACTGTCCAGTGTCTTTCCATTGCTCTTTGAATAAAAGCCAAATTATTTATCATGGCTACGAATGATCCACTCCTGTACCTCAATAAGGAAACAGAAGACTTGAACAACACTATACACCAACTAGAATTAACATATATCCATACAGCATTCCACCCAATAATAGCAGAATACATAATCTTCTCAAGTGCACATGAAACATTCTTCAGGACAGATCATAAGCTAGGTCATAAAAGAAACCTCAAAAAACTTAAAAGGATTGAAATCATACCAAATATATTATCTACCACCATGGAATGAAATTAGAAATAAAAAACAGAAGGAAATTTGGGAAATTTACAAATATGTGGAAATTGAACAACACACTCCTAAATAACCAATAGGCCAAAAAGTCACAAGGGAAATTAGAAAATACTTTGGGACAAATGTAAACACAAAATATCAAAACTTACAGGCCAGGCATGGTGGCTCACACCTGTAATCCCAGCACTTTGGGAGGCCAAGGTGGGTGGATCACTGGAGGTCACAAGTTTGAGACCAGCCTGGCCAACGTGGTGAAACCTTGTCTCTACTAAAAATACAAAAAAAATCGCCAGGTGTGGTGATGCACTCTTGGAATCCCAGCTACTCACAAGGCTGAGGCAGGAGAATCTCTTGAACCCAGGAGGCAGAGGTTGCAGTGAGCTGAGATTGCACTACTGCACTCCAGCCTGGGAGACAGAACACGACTCCATCTCAAACAAACAAACAAACAAAACAAAACAAAAGAAAAAAAGAAGAAAAGAAAAAAAAAAGAAACTTACGGGATGCAGCTAAAGAAGTGCTTAGAGGGGAAATGATAGCTATAATACCTATATTTAAAAAGAAGAAATAATTCAAATCAATAATCTAACCTGCCATCTAAGAAGCCAGATGAGCAAACAGAAGCAAACAGAAGGAAAGAAATAAAGATTGAAACAGAGATAAATGAAATCCAGAATAGAAAAACAATAGAGAAAAGTAACCAAACCAAAAGTTGGTTCTTTGAAAAGAACAGCAAAATTGACAAGTCTTTAGTTAGACAAAAAAAGAGAAAAGACTGAAATTACTAAAATCAGAAATGAGAGAACATTACCACAGACCTTACAGAAATACAGGGTATTATAATAGAATGCTAAGAGCATTTGTATGACAACAAATTAGATAAACCAGATGAAATGAACCAATTCCTAGAAACATACCAACTATCAAAAGTGACTCAAGAAGAAACAGAAAAATTTAACACACCTATAATAAATAACTAGATTGACTCACTAATAACAAAAACTCCCAGTGAGGGAGAGGGGAGTGCGGATGGTTAATGGCTATAAAAATATAGATGGAATGAATAAGATCTGGTATTTGATAACACAATACTCAACAATAATTTATTGTACATTTAAAAATAACTAAGAGTATAATTGGAATGTTTGTAATGCAAAGAAATGACAGGTGCTTCAGGTGATGCATATCCTATTTTCCTGATGTGATTATTGTACATTGTATGCTAGTTTCAAAATATCTCACGTACTCCATAAATATATACACTATGAACACATAAAAAAATTCAAACTAAAAAATAAATAAATTTTAAAACTACCAAC